TCAGTATGCTTCGTTCAGTTACGTATTGCTAAAATTTGACGTCGAATAAATTATTTGGTGTTTTAATTTACCCATTTTAAAACGGCCGCCTATGTTAAAAAGTGAAATAATCCATTTTTTTCTAGATTATGTAAATAAGTACCGAGTATGATATACTTTTAGAAATCTCATAACAAGGCACCGATAAAATAAAAATATAAAATTCAGGGTAACTTCATAGAACTCAGGGTGCATCCACACTATCCTAAAAAGGCGTATCGGCGTAACGGCGTGATGACCTTGAATCGATTTTCAGCAATTATATTGGCTGAAAAATTCATCTGTATCAAAAATTTCAGCCAATAGAATTACTGGAAATCTATTCAAGGTCGTTACGCCGTTTTTAGGATATTGTGGATGCACCCTCAGATTGTCAAAATCGTAGGTTGACAACTTAAGGTATGTTGAAATTCCACTGGTTTTGCGTGAAACTAATATAACACATTGATTTGATTAACACAGTAATACAGCGTTTCGTTCAGAAGGATCATTGACCGTTATCAAAAATTAATAAACTAATTTAATTTCTAAGTTTTTTCTGCAGTTTTAGGAATTAGATTATTTTACACTACTTGATAAGTGATCAACTAGATCGAAAAGCCATCAAACAATCTAGTGTTTCCAACCGTCCTCTACCCTAGAAGACAGTCCTCTTTTAGATCATACTGTCCTCTTATCTCTCATCTATTGAAAAAGTCCTCTTTTTACACAAAATCAAAACATATAATATTCTTTTATCTCCAAAATGTTTAATAAAATTGTTGTTAATTTGACAATAATGTGTCTTTCGCTACTACCCCTTTCGTAGAGAACAGAAATATAATATTATGTACAAAGAATATTTAAACAATAAATGTTTGGTCTTTTATGTTTACTTGCAGTTAGCTTATGTTTTGAAATAAAGGTTTTTGTAGAAAAACGTTTGTTCCATTTTAACCAGTTTGGAGTACAAATACTTTTGAGATAGTAAAAAAGATCATCAACCACATAACATGTACCGGGTGGCCGATTAAGAATGGACGCCGGCTGTATCTCAAAAACTACTTATATTATAACTTTGAGAAAAAAATTCTAATAAGTAAATCAACCAAGAGAAATCGCTGAAAATTTTCAAGTTCGAAAAATGTCCGCTAGATGGCGTTTCGCTGATAGCCAATCAGATAACAGGGTTTTTTCTCAAAAGTATGCAGGTGAACAGGTGTTTTAAATATTACTACTGTAATCATCGAGAAATTTGTAATTTTTTGATATAGAGTGTTTTACACTTATCTCATAAAATACAGTGGTGTGGGAAGGTTAAACTTGCTTTTATGAAAATAAGGATAACTCTGATTTAGGTTAACCGATTTAAATAGACTCCGTTTAAAGAGCTTTTTCTTCATAATAATCTCAGTGTAGATTTTGTTTCCATCATTTTTTCGTGGTAGCTAGAGGGCGCTGTTTGACATCATAACAGATATTGCTCTTTTGCATAAAAAATTAAATAGGAGGCTATATTTATCTTTACACAGTTAAATAGAGCACAAAATTTCCAAATATCAGCGCAAACTGCAATTTTCTATCTTGTCTCTAACCGGAGATATTAAGAGAACAAATCATGTTAGGCTGCCGCTTAGGATTATATGGTCAAAAAATTATAGTAGTAGGCTAGGAAACAAAAAGAGGTAAATTAGTTACGTCAAAATATCAAAACGTTAAGTTCAGTTTTCATGCATCTGAATTGCGGGCGTTTTATTAAAAAAGATGACGTCATAAATTTTTAAACGTGTTTTGGTTTGGTTTTGGAGAACATAATTTGTTCTCTTAATATCTCCGGTTAGAGACAAGATAGAAAATTGCAGTTTGCGCTGATATTTTGGAATTTTATTGCTCTCTATTTAACTGTGTAAAAAGAAACATATAGCCTCTATTTATTTTTTCAAAAAGCGCAATATCTGTTATGATGTCAAACAGCGCCCTCTAGCTACCTACGAAAAAATGATGGAAACAAAATTTACACTGGAGATCGTTAAGGAAGAAAAGCTCTTTTAAACGAGCCCTAGTTTGTTTTAAATCCGATTAACCTAAACCAGAGTTTTGTTCTTATTTTAATAAAAGCAAGTTTAACCTTCCCCACCACTTCATTTTATGAGATTAAGAGCAAAACACTCTATATCAAAAAAATTACACGTTTCTCGATGATTACAATAGTAATATTTAAAATACCTATTCACCTGCATATTTTGAATATTCCCTCTTCTGATTGGCTATCAACCCAGAAACGCCCCCTAACGGACATTTTTCGAAATTGAAAATAATTTCCAGCTTTTTTTTTTTTTTTTATTTACTTATTACAATTTATTTCCCAAAGTTATACGATAAGTAGTTTCTGAGATACAACCGGCGTCCATTCTTAGTTAATACCCGGTACATAACTTTCAGGTAAATTCTTGACAACATTTGGGCGAGGTTTCAAAAAATATTTAGCTTGCGGCGCTTTTTTAACTTCTCGTCCTCTAATTTTTATTTTGAAAGTTGGCAATGCTATGTTAATCAAAATAAATAAAAACTGTTGAAGTCCGAAATTCTTTTAGTTTCAATACTGAATCATTTTCTACCACAATCAAAGAAACGTTGATTTTCCTTTGTTACCTGTTCAATTTAATTTAAAATAGATACAGATTTTTCTTAAATTATTTAATATTGGTGTGTCAAAAATTGTTCAATTTTGGCACGTATAGGTGTATTCAGTAAACGCAGACTTAAAAAAAATCTGCAGGGGCCAATATTTGAACAGTTTAAACTTACCATGAGATTTTCTATATTATTTCCGACGACGATGCATCACCCAGTATATCGATATGCATTACAAATAAATCATTCCTAAATCTAATCACTAACCGCAGAGTTTAAAGTACAAGCGTGCTTATATGCATAGCGAGAATATAAATACAAAACATCTATTAAGTTCTAAATAAATCGCAATAATACTACACACAGTAATGCTATTATTTGATAAGAAAGTTCTGTTTATTTGCATTAACAAAGCGTTATAAACTGAATTCAAAAAAACTACCGTTATCTGTTCTAGTCTTGTTGATAAATAATATGGAAATTTTGAATGAATATCGCTTACAAATAGGATTTTAAAGCTTAGTCCAGACGTAACGACATAATCTTACGATTTGTTTGTGTCGACAAAACGTTGCAGATAAAACATAGCGTGTGGACAGCAAGTTTGAACAAATTTTAGGACTGCACAAACTAGGAAGACTGAGTTAAAAGTTTGAGTCCCAGGGCATCACCGTTGCCAGAGTTCAAGGATTTTGCTTTCGTTTTTAAAGGATTTTTTTTCGTAGAAAAACAGACTACGCCACTGTATTCTACGTAAAAAGTTCTACAATAAATAGTGTTCACCTTCTCGATACCTTTAACAATAACAGAGATACAGGGGGTATCTCAAATTGCAAAATTTTCGAAAAGACACTGTAGCTTAGAAGCGAAGAGGGCTATGAAAATTTAGTTTGGAGCATCTTCCGTTTGACAAAAAGTGGGACAGGTTTGTGCAAACCGCATCCTCCTATCTTTACTAATAAAGGAGATACCGTATGATTTCAACCAAAATGGGACACCCTGTACAATAGTTTCCCTTGATTATGTCAAGTAAAATGAAAAGAATACATTGACAAGGAAAAGAAAAATCAGACCTACGAGTTTTTTATGATAGATATTCAGAGTGGTCTAGCAGATACCTCTATTAAAGTACAGGGTGTCCCACTAAGACTAGCTCTCGGCTGTATCTCGGAAAGTATTAGCCGAAGCGGCTGCGGAAAAAAATATTCATAACTAAAGAGGCTATGGGAAATTGCTGGAAATTATTTTTAAGTTTGTAGAACGACCGCTAGGGGGCGCAACTGCAACAAAAAATAGGAAAATGGAATTTTTACACAATTTTGCCTAGATACAGGGATACTATAAGTAACAGCTTCATAACCTTCAGTAAATTTTGAATATTTTACAGAGCCATTTCCCCTATCTACCAAAATAAAGTGGTGGGTGAAGGTTAGATCTGTTTTTATTTGAATATTAAACTCTGGACTGGATGATCGGAATCCAACAAGCGAGCTCGTTTAAAGAGCGTTTCTTACTCTATATTGTACCATATAACAATAATAATAAGCTTTTTGAACGTAGACGCTAGGGGCGTTGTCTTACAATTTAACACACATTGCGCGTTTTCAAAAAATTAAATACAATAGTATATGTATTTTTAGCTGATAGTAAAAAGTAGTAAAAGCTTAAAAGTCAGCGAAAACCATCTTGATATCTTCTGTCAAAACCGAAGATATAGCAAAATTATAATAAATACCAAAAATAAGCCCTTAATTACCTTATTTTACAATACAGTATCAGTAGCCCTCTTGATTAGGCCCATTCTAACAAAAAATAAGATAGAAAGTTAGTTTATTTTAAAATCGACGAAATGCCAGAATACCAATACCAGATGTTAATAATAATTAAGGTATTAATAATAGTGAACAAGAAACGATGATTCACTGAAGTCATGGTAGGCTTTGGAAAAAAGTTGCTTTTCGCGTAATAATATAAACGTCAAATTGTTATTAGATCAACATTTTGATAATCTTAGCAGCGTTAAAATAACATAATTTTATCATTTTCAAATAAATTTTGAAAAAACGCGCTGTTTGTTAAACTGTAAGAAGGCGCCCCCTAGCGTCTACGTTCAAAACCTTATTATTATTATTTTTATGGTACAATATAGAGTAAGAAACGCTCTTTTAAACGAGCCCTCGTTTGTTGGATTCTGATCATCCAGTCCGGAGTTATTACCATTTAAATAAACAGATTCTTCCCCACCACTTTATTTTAGCAGATAGGGAAATGGTTCTAACAAAAAATCCAAAATTTTTTTTTTTATTATATTTATTTATAGTACCCATTATATAGGCAAACTTCTGTAAAAAATCTATTCTTATTTTCCATAGCAGTTGCGCCACCTAGCGGACGTTTTACAAACTTGAAAATAATTTACAGCAATTTCTCCATAGCCCTTTTAGTTATAAATATTTTTTCTGTAAGCCCTACAGCTAATACTTTCTGAGATACAGCTGCGAGCTATTCTTAGTGGGCACGGTACATAATATAATAAAAATAAAATGTTTTGTATATCTCTATACTTTTATGGGTTTACATGTGTGTGAGTTAGTTAAAAATAAAAATTTTATAATAAGAAACATTGTGAATTGACAATCAAACATTATTTTAAGAAATAGGTATCTGGTAGGTACACAATTAAAAAGTAATATTTTCACATATTTCTATACTCGCAGCAATTTAAACATCTCTTCAGCTGTTGTTTCGCATACCACGGTATCTTCAATATTCAGCAATGACTTCTCATTTCTAGTCACTCCACTTCAATTGTTGTTTCGCATACCATGGTATCTTTCAATATTCACCCTAAGTCGTAGTTTTCTTGATGTTTTCTGGTTGAGCAACCTTTTTTCAATCATTAGATTTGTAATAGATTTGGCTAGATGTTTAAGAAAATCAATTTGTATCGCAAACAAATCGTACGATAAGACGTAACGTGTGGACCGCGCTTTACAACAATCAATATATTTTCACGAATAAACATATTACATTTTAAGTCAAACATCAAGTTCAATGTACCAGTTACTTCATTTTTAAAAACTGCCCCATTTTAGTAACACAGATTAAACTACATACATAGGTCGTAGAAAACCAGTATTGATTTTACTCTTACCGTTGTTGGCGTTTGTTCTTCATTCTCCACCAAAGGAATCACCAAATTGTCCTTCTTTTCTGAATGCGTCTTCGTCAAGATCGTCATCTTTAGGAACTAATACAGAATTCGATCGGAAATGTTATCTGGAACTGTGCAAACTAATCGGAAAACAAATTGTTTAGAACAAGTTCACTCAACAAAATACGAAATACAAAAACATCCCCACTCTGAATCATCTGTTATATGTCAAATTCTAACCCCACCCAAAGATATTTATAGGGAATGTCCAACGTTGCCGGACTTACTATTTTCTAGTGTGCTTCCCTTCTTTTTTCTAACTTATTTAAAAAAAGAACCATAAGAAATAGTTTAATAGATATTTAGTACTTTTTATATGCAAGTAGCTGTATCTAAAAAATTGCGATAATTTTTTATACTAATATATTAAGAAAATATAAAAAAATCTGAATTTTAAAATTATTACTTTTATCTACTACTAAAATACCGTATGATCGAGAAAAAACGGCGTCAGCGATGGCTATGGAATGAAGATCGCTGTCATTTTATATGTAAATTTATATGGGAAATGTCATTGATGTTCATTTCCCAGCCAACTGGACTCCGTTTTTTTTCGATCATACGGTACATAATATGTATATTTATTATTATTTATAAAATGGTTAATACTCAGCAATTAACAATGATTGAAATATTTGGCAATACTATGTTAGAGGATTTTAGAATTAGTGATTGGTATCTACTAATGATAAAATAAATTAACGATCAAAAATTTTAGAAAATTTTGTCGTTGACTTTTTTTGGTTTTTCTTTACCTTCTTAATAATTTACTTAAGTTTTGACTTAGTTGTTTGTGAAATCGACATTTTTTTCAATCTTAAACTTTATCTAATCTAGATAAAAATGTACAAATTTCTTAAATTTATTGTCAACCAAACTGGCAAAATCAGAATTGTCAACATGTTTTCAACTACTTCAACCATTGTTGATCGTTCCGATAGAATTTTAGTTAAAATTAAAATCAAAATTAAAATATTTTAAGAATAAGTTAAAAATATAAAATACCAGAATACCACAATATCAAAAATACCAGAATATAAAAGTTTATAAAAAATAGCCCCACAATAATTGCAACATTATATTTATACTTTATTTAACATAACACAGTTTTTTTAAAAATGTAAGAAGTTTATAAATAATTATGAATTTTTTTCATTATAATAAAAATACTAAAAAATTAAATCTGACAACATTGCACATCTATCGAAAAGCGCCAATTTGAAAAATTTAATAATTTTACAATCATATTCCCCGAAGGAAGATATTAAGGGTTTTTCTAGCGTTATTTATGAATATAAGTTTCAATTTATATATTGTTTGGGGAGCTTAATCTATTACTATGTAGAAATATCCTACAATTGTAGGTAATAAACCGTATTCTTTATATAGATATAAAATCACCTAGAATTTTATTATCCCGCAACCAAATATACACACACGTGTTTTGCTGGTAATCTAACGTAAAGTATGGATTCTAAAATATTTTAAACTGAACATAATATACAATACAAACTAGTTTATTGTTTTAAGTGTTATTAACTATCTTGAGCAAGTTCTTAAAAGGGTTATACTGAGAAATTGACACTTTTTAACACTGTCATTAAAAATATGTCCGGTAGCAGTAAAACAAAAATAAACGAAGGCAGACGCGCTAAAAACTTGAAATTTTGCCGCGTTTCGGTTAGCACGTTTATTAGTGGTTTTACGAGGTGGGCTGTTCTATTTTTCTTGTTTTATTTGACGGTCTGTCAACTTTATGTCGTACCTGGTCGTACGGAAGTCCGTAAAATGGGATATGGTGTAGTAATAGTAAGTTTAGAGAGGGTATACAAAATAGCAAAATGGGAGTTTATATTGCTATTTATATTTAAATACTTCAAAATGTACAATTTAATAATTTACCTACTAGTATCTACTTAATAGTAATAAAAATTATACCTACTTATAAAGAATCTCATATAAAGGCCAAGATAGCTTTTATCATGGGTTAATTTTTTATAGAGGCTTTATAATTTATTATGTAATTATAATTTATTATATAATTATCCCCCTATATAAGGCAAAATTTGATATACAGGGAACTTGGTCGAAGTGTATTTTGAAACTTCGGAAACATATTCGTAAAAAGTTCGTATAAATGCTCTAAAAACGCTTAGTCTTTGGCGATACAAAGGGTAGTTGCATTTTATTTCGTTTTTCCAAATAATTTCTGAAGTAACGTCAATATTTAGATGAAAATTGGTGTCTGGGAATTTTTTGACATGAGAAATTTGATTTTGATGCCAATGTGACACTTACTTGTAGAGGGCGCCATATATGCCACTTACATATTTTTAACTGGTTTGAAGAGTAATAACTTTTCGCCCATACCTGTAGAAAACTACTAAGTAAAAAATATACATTTACGACGTTTTTTACGTAAAAAAGGTCTCTCGGTAAAAATCGCTACGAGTAATGGTTCTCGAGATATTTGGAATCGAAATTATCAATACCTGTCATCACTGACATAAATAATTAAACATGTTGACTAAGTACCGTATGATCGAAAAAAAACGGCGTCCAGTTGGCTTAGAAATGACGATCGATGACATTTCCCATATAATTTTACATATAAAATGACAGCGATCTTCATTTCATAGCCATCGCTGACGCGGTTTTATTCGATCATACGGTAGTTATTAGACTGAAATCATAAATTTGAAATGATTTTATGTGAAAAGTTAAACAGAAACTGTTTTAATTTTAACATCATTTTTTCGAAGAAAAATTTATGATTAATTTAAAAAAATAAAAAATCCTAAAATTTATAATTTCAGTCAAATAACTGTCTACTCAACGTGTTTATTTTTTGTCAATAATGACTACTTCCATTCATGTTCCATTCTAAATATCTTGAGAAAGTTTGCCCGTAGCGATTTTTACCAAAGAGACATAAAAGCGTGTCCCATGGAATATTGGGACACCCTGTATATACAATAATTTTACCGCTTGTAAGGTGAACTGGGACATAGCGTACAGATTTTGCAGAATTATGGGACACTCTGTATTTAACAGGATATTATTTTTAATAGTCGACCGCAAGCCCTAATAAGGATACGGTATAGAGGATACGACTTTCCGTCCCTCTAATGAACTCCAACAGGAAGCTGCCACATTCGTCGTGTTAATTGGGGAGTCGAAAATTGGCCACGCCGGCCATGGATATTTATTAGAGAGAACATCGGAACATCAGTTCGTCATGGGCCTCTTGATTTTATGACGGTTCCTAATAATAGACAACACGTGAGAGACGTGGAAAAAATATCATTTGACAAGGTTTATTCGTAGTTGTTCATATACAGTGCCCAGCAACAGAATTTCGAGTATTTATATCTATTATAGATCCTATAATACTTTGAGGAACACGACCCCACTGTAGTGTTGAGCGACAAAAAGGATTGGAGGAGAAAATAAACGCTAACTTTCCTCAGCAGTTAAAAGACCATACCATAACGAGGTATACTGATGCTTCCAAAACAGAGTAGTAACGGGGATTGGAGTATTTTTGGGCCGAAAACTAAATATTCTGAACCAATAGGCACCAATGGGTACAACTTTTCTTAGATAGGAACTATCGGAAACAATAAATAGCCATTTTATGCGATAGTCAAGCAGCCTGAAAAGCGATCAACTCAGTAACCATCAATTCAAAGTTAGTCAACTAATGCCTAGAGAAACTGAACAAATTATTCAAAGAAAATAAAGTTCCCTTACTCAGGATAACCTATATTATACTATATTATAGCGCATGAATGTATCAAATCTCGATGAGTATAACCATATAGTTGCTCGATATATAATTTTACTTTACAAGCTACATTACTTCTTTAAGTCTCTTTTATATACCTGTCGGATCGAAAAAATAACGTCCAGCTGTTGGTTTCGAAATGACAATCGTTGACATTCCCCATATAATCTCTACTACTAATATATAAAATCCTTAAGTGACTGACATACTGATTAGAGATAAGAAGATCAGTTTTGGCATACAGGTTGATTCTAGGGTGTAGAGGTTAGAGGTTCGATAAGAAGGGATCGATTTTTCGAAATCCCAGTTCCAAGAGGGTGAAACCACCCCTTAAATATTACAATATTTTTTTATTTAAAAAAACCGTTAAGTTTCCGAAAAAACGCTGAAACACGTATATTTTATTTTGTTTTACATATTTTAAGATTTTTAAAATGTATACAGGGTGTTTCCTGAACAATCTGGTCATTCATTAATCACGATCCTGCTTAAAGCGCTTGACGTAAAAAAGCTGATTTTTTTGGAAAACAGATTGACTTTAGGGTGTAGAGGTTCGATAAGAAGGGATTTTCGAAGCTCGAATTCTATAGGTGAAAACTATCCCCCAAATATTAAAATATTTTTATTTAAAAAACCGGTGAGTTTTTCGGAAAAACTCTTAAACACGTATATTTTATTTTGTTGTTTTACATATTTTAAGAGATTTTTATAAATTTATACAGGGTGTTTCATAAAATATGACCATTGAGTAATCACGATTCTGTTTAAACTGCTTGACGTTCAAAGCTGACTTTTTGGCAAACGGATTGACTGTGGGGTGTAGAGGTTCGATAAGGAGTGGTTTCTCGAATCAAATTCCAAGAGGGTGAAAACGCCCCTCAAATATTAAGCAATATTTGTTATTTAAAAAACGTGGTTAGTCTTTCGGGAAAACGCTTGGACAAGCATAATTTATTTGTTTTTTACATATTTTGAATTTTTAAAAAAAATCATACAGGGTGTTCTGCAAAAGTTGGGTAATTTCTTAACCACGATTCTGTTTAAACTGCTTGACATAAAAAGCTTATTTTTGGCAAATGGATTTTTTGAAAGTCAAATTCCAACGAGATGAAACTAATCCTCAAATATTACCAAGTTATATAATAATATCGCCATATTGTTTTTTCTCATGCTGACATAAATGTGAGAAAATTTTATCCAGTTTGTATGTTAATGGAAATTCTTGATTTGCTTTGTCATC